GTATTCAAGTGCAGAAAATTCATTACGTAACGTTACTTTATGCTATAAAATTTCATAATGTGCAACGTAACGTTTCAAACGTTAATACTTTTGATGAACACTATCGTAACGAAAGCTAAAATCTAGAAAAATCAAAACGTTGACATCTCTAGTGTATGTACACTGACGTACACTGTACAGTCTGCATTTCCTGTACCCTAGTGTACGTACACTGTACAGTCTGCATTTCCTGTACCCTAGTGTACATACACTATACAGTCTGCATGTCCTGTACCCTAGTACCCTAGTGTATGTACACTGTACAGTCTGCATGTCAACGTAAAATCAAAACTTGTTAAATTATCGTCCAATAATGTATTTACCAACTTTATGTGATATAACGTGATCTGTTTTTTTTTTAAATTATGCAGTAAAAGTAAGCGTTTAGCTGTTTGGATTTTCTGTACATAATAATCTTCAAGTGTGTTTAGTAAATTAGTATACACTAAATTGATGTATAGCAGTCCTAACAGATCAACACTTTCTTTACTTTATTGTTTTAAATGTGTAACTAAATACAGTACTGCGCATTTATTGATGTTAATGATTATTAAAAGGGAAAAAAATAAACCATGGCAAGAAAATGCAGGGTGTCCCAATAAACATTGGAATTAAGTGACAACTTCTATGTCGTCTTTGTTTCACGCGGGATTATTTCTTAAGCTCAATTATAGCTCTATACTAGATTTTCTTAATGTGGTTACCATTTTTACAGGAATTAGTCCAGATTCCAATTTATTGAAAATTAAAAATAAGTAATAATTGGGCGTACACTTTTAGCCCCCCTGGTACAGTCAAATCCATGCCTAGTCCCCCTGGATACGCCCTGGCTATGGTGCAGCAAGATACATTGTTATTAACTAAAATAACGTTTCAACCCCTTTAAAATAATCATGAATATTATAGTATTTATATATCTATTATTCTTCACATAAATTTGTACAATTGCCATATTTGCCTTGTTAATTACAATGCCTTATAGATAACCAATTGTAGTGGCTTAGTTAACATTTATTACTGTTAAAATGTATTGTACGAAAAAAGTTAATTGATATATTTTAGTTTTTTTTTCTCGATAATAATATCATTTTAATAAATGTTATATGTGAAATAAATAAACTGCTGATTATGTTATTTAAAAATTACGTAAAAAAGAATTGATGTGATAAAGCTTTATTCAAAATTTTCTTTATTGCTTTTATCTATTTTTGGAAGGGTTTGTAGAAAAATATTTGAAAAAAGACAGAACTCAACTTGATTGGTATTATCTGGTACTAATATAAGCGGAATTTCGTTTTTTCAATTTAAATAGGTGATTTATATATTAAATAAAATACAGTTTTTTATTAAAAACCTAAAAATTTTTAAATTCAGCCTTTTAATCGCAGCTATTTCATGGGAAGAAAGTTCGAAACCGTAATTTGGCCCATATCTGACACTGAGTGTAAGGTTTGGGCCAAATGTGCACAGTTATCTTTTATAACTGTTCATATTTTTCAATTCAAGCTGAGAAGGAAAAAAGATTTCGAGACATTTCACAGATTTAAATTAATGGTATTTTCAAGCATTTACACAATTGGGTAACAAAACAAGTCTTTTGCATTTCGTAAAATTTATATAATTAAACAATAAAAATGTAAAAAATATATTCTGCTTTGATATTTCAAAATATAAAACTAAACATATTGAAAATTCTAATATAAATTTATATTTTTCTAGCAATAAAATTGAACAGAGAAATGCAGGAATTTTTTTTAAAATTAAAAATGGAGGAATCTTAAAATCATCTGTTTTCTCCGCATTTACAAGTATGAATGTGGAATCAAATTTCAGAATTATGAAATTGCGTTTTGTTCTGGATTAATGGATATCTCAAATTATGAAAGTTGGTTTATAATGTTCCAAAACGCGTCCAAGATTCGAAATCGTGAAATATGTGCGAAAATTGAAAAACTTGGGAATTGTTTAAAAAATGGCATGGTTTTTATTGAAAATAAACGACTGCTCACAGTTGCAATTCTATTTATGAAAAGAATTAAATAGTTTTATTTGTAGTTCTCGTAGTGCTAAATAATATTCTGGAAATACAGATCATAACAAAGACTATATCCAATTCGTCACTGAATTCCCATGTTTTTTGGAACACCCTGTAGTTTCTTTAATTTTTATTTGAACTCGGCACAGGGAGAGTTAAATTAAAACACTGATCATAATATTTGTACCCAAACATGACACTAATTGTGTCAGGTTTGGAACTAAGCAAGGTTTGCAACATCTCTTCCCCTGCATTTGATTCTCATTTTCTGAAAAACTTAAGATAATTAAAAATTAGCAGGAAATTCCATAAAAAAGTTATATTTAATTTTTTCAATATTTAAATCATATTTTTTATAAATCAAATATCTTAAATACATATTTCAAAGTTGGGTTAAAGATCTGCAATAAGGAAGGCAATCTAAATATAAATTTGGCTTGTCTGTCAGTTGAGGCGAGGAAGGCCAACCACATCAATCTCTAGTCCGAACCACATTCTCCTCATTTTCTCGTCCGAACCACCTCGAAATCCTCGTCCTTTCAATATTATTTTTTTAAGTGTCCGATCCTTGAAAATAAATACATTTTTTTAAATATATGGCGACGTTAGGGCATAAAACATGACTAAAATAAAGTTTTCCAAGGATTTTGAGATGTTGGAATCTTCAAATCCACGAGAATGATGTCAAACATTATTTAGGTAAAACTTAAATCTCTTCTGCCTCCATAATGGCTAACCTTCGTGATATAAAATAAATAGAAAAATATTCGGCATACCTCTGCCTATAGTTTTCCCATGCATGGAACCACCTGGAAAAATTTTATGGTTTTCTGTTTGTCTGTCCGTTTGTTTTTTTGTATCTAATAAACGTCAAAACGACTGAACCGATCGGGCCCACATTTTTTGTGGGACATCACATGACCACAGGGAAGGTTTATGGATGATAAAAAAAAAATGTGTTTTAAAGGTTTTGAATTTTGTAAAAAAAATTTAAATTCTTGAAAATTTTTATTATCAAATGTACTTACTACCTAGCTAGCCATGCATGGGAATGGGGAGGGTACCCTGAAAGTTTCAGCCATGGCCCCTGGAATGTGGGCATAT